GTTCATACATTATTAAATAAAAGACAAACAGTAATTATTTTTTCAAACGTGACCTTGTGCACCTGTCTGTAAAAGACACACTATGAAGATAAGATATGTAGTAGAAAAATCAGCTCACTTGAAAATTGGCATATAGACTACGGTTTTATAGGGGACTGAGTTTTAAACAGACTAATGTTTTGCTGTGAGCTCAACCAAGCTTGTCAGTGGTTGGTTAAGCACCGCTAAACATAGTCTGCCTCAGCAAGATTGCTGTATGATCCGTGTCAGTTAATAATTGTGGCAAGTAATTGTTGTAGCCTTGACATAAAACAGAGGAGAACTTAGAGGAAACTGAACTTAAAGCGAGGGGTGTTAATATATTCTTGGTACAGTATGGACTAGATGCAAGACAGATAGACAGGCTTGAACAACTTCTACAAAAAACATCAAATGATTGGAGAGGAAAATGAAGGAACAGAGAGGAAGAGTTACTTGGCTTGTGTCGTACAACAGGTCAGTGATAGAAATTGAAACAAAATCCAGTGCGTATCTTGTTATGCCTTGTGTTTGGCGGTAGTAGTGTAGAGTTCTGAAGAGAAGTTTGCAAACTACTTAGTCTGGATAAATTAATGCATTTATTCATTTTGCTCTGCTTTGCTGTTTGTGTGGACAAAAAATAGGGGCACTGTGATTGCTCTTAGCATGTGCCCAATTATTCTTCCTCTCCGCATGTTACTAGTGGCTTTAAACCGCTGGGATAGGATGTTTTTATAGAAACTCCTAATTTCTTAGCTCTACTTCTTCTGCATGTTGGTGCAAACATGCAAGACTAGATTAAAAGGTACTGGGGCTCTGCACTTCAAGTAGGTTTCAATGGTATCTTGTAGCTTAGATGCCTTCTGAGCATTTGGTCTGGACTTACTTGTACTGGTTTGAAGAAGTGGAGAAAGTAAGAAAAGTGACATATAGTTTTTTTTCAGCAGAAGAGGAAAGTAAGGGGGCCCTGTTGCCTGGTCTACATTCTGAAGTAGGAATGAATCTGGACGTTCTGCATTTGAGCTGACAAGGCTTGTACTGGTTTTGGCTGGGATAGAGTTAATTTTCTTCATACTAGCTTGTATGGTCCTGTGTTTTGGGTTTGTGCTGAAACTAGTGTTGATAACACGCTGATGTTTTAGTTACTGCTGAACAAAGCTTACACAGTGTCAAGGCCTTTTCTACTCTTCACACTGCCCTGCCAGCAGAGTAGGTTGGAGGTGCACAAAATAGCACTATACAAGCTAATATGAAGAATTTTAACCCTATCGCAGCCAAAATCAGTACACTTGTGTTCAAGGGTGTGTTTTGTATTTGTAAAATTTACAAAAGTCCTGTGGTTCTTGGGCAAGTGGTCAAAAGCTGGGTGGAAAGCAGAGGAGGGCTGAAGAGGGTGCTACTCAGT